TGAAAAGAGATGGTAAAAAAAAGCCATTTACACAGCCTGAAAAATTGTGCAAAAGCTGGCAGACTTCATTTTTCTAAATATATTAGCAGGAAATGTTCATTGCAGGGAAACCACAGGAAGGAGAAACCACCATCGCCATGTTAAAAAAAACCCCATTGTTTACAGCTTGAGAAAGTCTTGGGTCAAAAAGAGACTGGGAGTTTTTAGTCCAGGATTCACAGCTGGCATTTATAGTATCTGTTTTACATAAATATATGTGATATATGGGCATATTTTTGTAAAAAAAAAGAAAAAAAAAAGCTCTCTGGGTCCTGTAATAATGCTGTAACAAGGTCAGTTAAATATCTCTATGGGATCATCTGCTTAAAAATCCATTCTTATTTTTCTCTTTGAACTTCTGATATTTGAGCTTAACATTCAGGACGTAGGCAATCTTTCAGAGTTAACGTTAACCAAGGGAAAAAAAAAACCCCGAACCATGAATATGACAACATAAAGACAGCCTGCCAGGAGAAAAGTGTACGTTCCCCTCCAGCTTTGGCTCGGCTCCAGCTTTCAGCATGTAGTTTTTGTGGTTTATATTTGCAAACGATTTGTGAAGGGTGAAAGCATCTCCTCCTCTGTGTTGAATGGGAACTATAATTCTTGTTTTTAGATGTGTAACCAGTCACAGGTGATGTCCTATCCCATACTTGGCAGTCTATTCAGAACATGTGGTGTCCACCCTCTCAACTCAATACGCCTCCCCCAAAAGCATGCTGTGCCATAACTTCATACAGTGGCTCTCCAACTCTTATATCAGCGCCAGCCTGTCACCTCCACTGCACAAAAAGAGGAAATCACTGCATTTATGTAACATCACACCAGAGTCACACACTGTCTTTAAACTGCAGCAGGAGAGGCCTCTTGTCTCGACCAGACTTATCTGTGTCTAAACAGTACTGCAACATCTGTATTTTATAAGATATGCCTTGAAAAGAAGAAATACATTCCCACAGTTTGAATACTTACCGGTTTCCTCTGGATCTCAAGCCACATTTAAAAAAAAAAAATAAAAAAAAAAGCGTGTTAACCTGGAGATTATTTGTCTTACTCCTGCAATCAGGATGTGAACGATAGCCAGGGGTGATTGATTATATGGACCGCTTTTATTCTCTACCTGCATGGCCAAAAAACCTACCACATCAGAGTTCAACCAGACCAGAGCAAGCCAGTCAAGTCCGTTTTTATTTATATAGTCCAAAATCACAAATCACATAGAGTACAATCCTCTGAGTTTTATTATTGCAACCAAAATGACACAATGGCAATGACTTTCAACTTTAATTTGAAGCTGTTTGAAACTAAATCACAGAAACAGTCCATGAATTGTGGCCAAAAATTGTTCAGCTGATACGACGGATGATGGCGCAGGGTTGAAAATCTACTACACCTTTCGGGATCTGCAGATAAAGGCAACATAACCAGCTGCCCTCTGATTGGACTCTGCTTTGTGATTGGACTGTCATTGTCCAATCAGATTCAGGTGAAAAAAACAGGCAGATTTATTTTACAGGTTTTCAAATGTTGATTTACAACTACCTTATTTGTGAACATCACTTTACAAGCTTAAAATCATTTTCATACTAATATGGACCCATATACACGTAGGTATGGGGTGTAGTCATGCACAGGATTTACCATTTCTTGCTGGTTGTGGGGTCCCGTAAGGTATGGTACTGACGTGAGGTGGGTTCTGGCATCCCTATGAAAACAAACAATAGTAATTATACTAAATAAAATGAAGCTGCTCTTCACAATGCAACACTGAGAAACATTTATTTTAACTTAAAATTTTGTTTGTTCAAGCACAACCACAAAAGGTGACATTTAATAATACAGCTAACAAGTTTGAGTTTATATATTTTTTTAAAAATCTGCTGTAAAATTTCTCCATATTAAACTGGCTACTGAATTTTCACTTGCCATCTTCCCAATCAACAGGATCTCTGATAAGAAAGTAAACTCTAAACCTCAGGATAGAAAACCCTGGGTGACGAATTCCTGCTTTTCTTGAAGTCCGAGTTTGTCTGGAGACCGGTGTGACGAAGAGGAGATCTTACTTACTGACTGCGGAAAGATTTTAAGTTGCACAAACAAAGAAATGAAAGTTGTACTCAAGTGTGTTGCTGGTGAGAGGGTGTTTGGTTGTTACTGTTAGTAGGCTATAGATAAATAAATGTCATGTTAAGGCAATGTTTTCCCGCCTTGTGTTGCTCACCATAAAAACCTCCACCGAGTGGCAAGTCCTCTTCATCATCAATTCAAGATTGTATTTTATCAGTGACCTTGCAGACTGACATGACATTTCCTTTCGCTGACTAATCATATGACTGGAAATGTGATACGTACAGAGAAAAATACAAGTATCCTACCAGGGGCCCTGTCAGCACATATCATTATATCAATAACACTACTAATATAGAGCTCACATTCAGAGGACATGTTTCTATTTCTGGCCGTTTCATCTGAGAGTTGTAGTACATCTCTGTTTCACTGTTGCTAGAGTCTGACAATCAGAACAACATGAAGGAGAGTGTTAATAACAATCATTATCATTTTTCGATAGATAAATTGGAGCTTTAAAGCCCGCCATGACTACCCGCACTCCTGGGGTGATTCAGTGGCTTTACTCAGACTCTAGTGATTATAGACAGTAAATACTGGATTCAGAGGACTTAGCATGTGAACACAATATCGAAGAAGGCTGTACTGATGGAGAAGAGTGCTGTCAGAGTCATCAGAATGGGGGTTAGTCAGAGGTGCTGCAGGGGTGATCTCAAAGGAGGATGTAGGAAGTGGGGAAATTGATGTGTCCTAAGATCAATACTGGAGAGCATTTGCATCTCAACAGTGAAACTAAATCACCCTGTGGCTGCTGCTGCTGCTGCTGCTGCTGCTACTTCAGGAGCATCAGCCTCTGCGTCCCCTGTGGAGAAGGTGGAAGTGGCAGGGTCAAGAGGATCACAGAAGAAGAACTGAGGAAAGGTTTGAAGCAGATAAAGCGGTCCGATTTTTCGGTGACACCAACTGCTTAATCGCCACAGTTGTCTTGGATCAATATCCATCAACACTGGTTTTTCCTTAAGTGTAAAGTCTAAGTACCTCAATGAGCATCAAACAGGACCACGGTGCTTAAACGTGCATTAGCTGTTTTGAAGCGGTCTCACCAAATTTATTATTATCTTGACCCAAGCAGTGTTTAATGGATACATGTGATTCAAACCTCAACAATCCTCATCACTTTCAGCAGGTGTACTGTAGACTACACGATTCAATCATCACACTAAAATGAAAAAAATGAATGTTTTGTTATAAAAAATGATTATATTGAAATGAAATCTAAATCCCCGTGCTTTAAGGACATCCAGTGCTTATCCGTGCTGTGGTTTAACACAATAACCTGTGAAACCTGAGATCAGTGAAAATTAAGCCTTTTCAAGCGGCACATCTGTCAGCGAAGCGACTTCCCTTGAGGAAAGAACCTCATTCTTCATTGTTAAGCTCAAGATCATCACACCAGTCTGAGTGAGAGCAGCTGATCTGAGCTCAGCTGAGTCGCCCTCTTGTGGTACAAGATGACCATAGTGCCTTGTAGTGCCTTGAGCTGTAAACTGACTCAGGTTACCTTATTTACATTTGGAAGTTGTAATTAATGACGTTTTAGTCAAGTAAAAACAACAGACATGGAGAAATGGACATGGAGAAATAGAAACACCTGTTATCTCTTCAGTCCATGAGATTTTTTTGAAGTTGTTTGTGTGTTGACCCAGTTCTTAGAGCATGTTTGGAGGCTCTGACGCTGTGTGGAGGTCTTGTTTTGGGGTGCAGTAGATGGAAAGGTGTTTCTAATACTGTGACTCCCTCATTTAAATAACATGGAGGAGTAAAGAAATTAGAAACACACTTCAGCTTTATGCGATCCAACACAGCAGTGCCACAAACTACAACCTTTGGCACAGTGTGACGAAGAGACTACATGGTCAAAAGTATGTGGACACTAATATTACAACCATATGTGGTTGTTGAACATGTCATTCTGAAAGCATGAGCATTAATCTGCTGCAGTAACAGCCTCCATGGTTCTGATTTCAGTTTTTTTGTTGTTGTTTTTACCAGATTTTGGAACCTGGCTGCAGGGATTTGTTCCCACTCAAGAGCCACAGGAGCATCAGTGAAGTTGGCCACTGATGTTGAGCGATCAGGTGTTGGATGGAGTGTGCTAAAAGAGGGGTCTAGAAAGTCTTTCTCAAATTATTTCCACAAAATATTATTGTACAGAATGAGAGAAGTCTACAGGGGAGTTTAATTACTTTTGGCCACATAGAAAACAATAAAGATAGAGAAGGGGGGTGGGGTGGGGGGGTTAATATTGCTGGATGAGTCAGACATTTATGTGTGTCCCTTATGATAAAGATAAATCATTTTTATGCCGCTTTTGCGATCAAGACCTCACGTGAGATTAAAGCAGGAGCGAGAGTTAGAGAGACAGAGAGAGGGAGAGAGAAAGGGGAGAGAGAGAGGAGCAGGTTGTATAGTCTTACTGCAGGAGTATCAGGGGTAATAAACTGGAGGGTGGACGTGCCCCCTCTCCTCTCCTCTCCTCCCCCCTCCTCTCCTCTCCTCTCCTCTCCTCTCTCGCCTCCGCCGCAGTGCACTTGCAGCTGAGCAGCACTCCGGACAGGACGGTCTCCTCCTCCTGCTCTTCTCCTTCCCTCCGTTTGTGTGTTAGTGAGGTAGTGTGGTGGTGGTGTTGCGGGGGGGTTGCACCGACAGTCGCATCTGACTCCAGCGTGCGGAGGGTCCCGGACAGACGCGTGATGGTGCGGACTCATTGATAAAAAATCTGTGCAGCTGGGATTAAAATGAGCACCCCTGCTGAGCGGCTCTCCTCCTCCTCCACATAGCGCTGCTCTCTCTGCTCAAGATCTGTTTCATGTGACTCCAGCAGGCGACGCAGGATGACTACTACCTTATCGCTGGTGATTTTGTGCGCCTTGGTGAGTAGCCTGTACTCTAATGTTTGCTGCAATATTCCTTTAATACTGCTAAATTCTCTAATAGGACTGTTGATGAGTTTTTACTGATCTTATGCACTTTGTTATTTTATTTTGAAAGATTTCCTCTCACTGGAGTGTTTCTATATAGTTCCTATAATATTCCTATTGGGGTTTAGATTGTGACCGTTTATTGCTATAATATTCCTTTTATAATCCTGCAGGGACTTTGTGGTGAGTTTTTCTTGACCCCAGAGTTCTTTGTGGTATCTATAATCTTCTGCGTGATGGCTGTGATGTATATCATAGGTGGTTAAATGTGTGGTGTATTGTTGCTGTGGTGTAATGCCATATTCACTGACCAACATGCTGTTCCTTCCCCTGATAAAACATGCAGGTGCTGCATGTTGCTAAACACCCACTGATTTACATGTGATATTATGCCCAGGTTATATTATATTCCCTCTAGCTCTGCACACACACATGCCCCTGCATGCACACACACACACACTCACTGTCACCTCCCTCTTGGTTTTCATCCAGGGAGTAAAAGTTAGACCGTACTGCGAGGATTGCTTTATTGAAAATTGAGATTTCTGCTTCACATTGGGCTGCAGCCAGACATCCAAAAGCTGAAAGGCCCAGACTTTAATAGTATTAATGAGTAGAAGTAATTTATTTCTATTTTCTAGTTTAATTTTGGGGATAATTAGGTCTTAAAATATGAAGAGATAAAGATGCTGCAGCTTATGGAAAAGTAAATGGATTCATTTAATTCTTATCCAACATGAGCTGTAAACTGTAAAACTTGCTGGTTTTGACATAAAACCATGGAGGCTCCTCTGATAATGTGAAAAAGTTGATTACGGAGGAGGGCGGTGATAAAGCGCAGAGCTGCAGGGGCACATCCTCCCAGCCCTCTGGTATGTTCACAGCAGCTGGTCTAATTGGGCTGTGCAGCTCAGTCATCATGTGAACAGCCCCTGTATGTGAGGGGACACTCTGTTATGACAGCTGGTTTTAAGGGTGGCGACGGTCGGGTGCACTTTGGTGGAATTAAATTTAGAAATAAACTCTCAGATTGACCATGAAATTGAGTAGAGTACAAACCAAGCATATCACAGCTGGGTCACCGTACGTTTTTTTTTTTTGTGTGTTCCTGCTGCTGGTGAACAAATTTCCCGCTGAATTTGCCATTAATCTGTGCTTGAGCTGAGTGATACTCCAGGGAGGGGTCACAGGAAAGGGGGCTGGCGCAGCAGTCAGGGACATGAATCTCCCCTCTGTACATACCAGAGGGGACTCTTTTCAGCTTCTGGGCTGCATCCAAAAGTCATTTTTGCAGGCAAAAAAAATGTGACTGTCACCCTCAAAATACACTCAAGAAAAACCTGAGGTTTGTGCAAAAATGTTGAGATAACAGGTTGTAAAGTCAGGAGAGAAATGCACCTCGAGAGCAAAAAGTAGAACGACAGAGTGGGGGAAATATTGAGCAAGAGCAGGGAGAATGAGAGAGAGAGAGAGAGCTGATGACTGCTCAGTACATCTGTTTCTGAATGAAAGCAGGGATGGAAGAGAGGGGAGGGATGGATGAGAGAGAGTGAGAGAGAGAGAATAACAGAAAAGACTGAATTGATGTCTCAGCAAATGTGAATTAAGTGGAAATGAGCTTTTGCCCGTTACATAATATAAGCCACAGGACATGAAAGTGATTCAGTGTAATGATTTTCTTTGTTCTAAAACGTCTGGATATGAATTCCTTTTCTTTAACACTGTTGTATACACACACACACACCAGTGAAACAAGCCTCAGTTCCTTTGCCAGTGAAGCTGCCTGGCATTTATATCAGAGAGCGTAGTGACAAAATGCAAGAAGAGAGGAAGGAGAGAGACAGAGACAGGGTGATAACTGGAGTAGATTAGACAGATTAGACAGGATTATATATTATACATGGAAATACTATGTGTCAGGATGAAAGAGAAATACAGCAAATGTGTGTGTTTACAGTGCTGTGGCTGCGTGCTGCAGGTATTTAGAGTGACATTAGCATATACAAATTAGGACAGCGGGTCTTATGATCTGATGCATACCCAACTTTATTGCCTCAGCTGTGAGTGAAGGTTTGCTCTGTGCATGAGTACATCTAGGTACAAGCATGTGTGTGGATGTGCCCGTGGTGATCGGAAGCAGAGGTTGACGTTCACAGCTACTCTCACCTTTAGAAAGTAATTAGGACAGGCATGTGTGTAATGTCTTGCACACATGATTTAATGGTTACTGCCTCGTCTGGATGTTGTAGGTTTACTATTAGAGCTGATGTGCCTTCAGGGGAGCTATTATGGCAGATTGCCTTGTTCAAAGTGTGTCTAATATAGGTGGGGACAACATGATTTATGATGAATTCTGATGGCGGTTGGATTTAAGGAACAGGTCAGACACCTGGCAGTAATTTTCATCAATTTGTTTCGCTGTGCATGTTGAAATCACAGTGGCTCTGTGCTGTGTGTGTTTGTATAAGTTTGTGTGAGCTCTCTGTGAGTGTGCTGCTCTAATGTAGCTACTGTACTGCTGTCCCCTGTGTGCCAGGTGGCGTTAGTGTTGGCGTCTAAGACGGAGCGGGCGGTGCTGCTGACCTGTGACTCCGGCCAGTACACCAACGGTGGAGAATGCTGCTTGGAGTGTCCACCTGGAGAGGGAGTGGTGAAGAAATGTGGTGCTACTCAGACCGTCTGCGCCCAGTGTCTGGACAGTGAGTAGAGCTTTCGTTCTGCATGTGCACTGAACTGATCAAACTCAGTTTAAAAAAAAAAAAAATTCAAATAAAGCACCCTTTATACAGGTTTCATAAGCTCCAATTCATGGTTGATAAATGGTTAATGCATCATTTATTACTGCTTTAAATATCAATTATAAGCCAGTAATAGAAACAACATCCCTCCAGCTTACCCTGTGAAAAAGCCCTGTGAGGAGTCGGGACCACATTCCACTAATTAAAAACGTATTAACATTTACAACTACGGACTTGATTGAATATTGCACAGATCTGTTATTAATGACTTTTTATTATTCATGACTGCAGACTTGATGGCTTATTTGAAAGTGACAGACTATACCAAACAGAAAGATCGAACAGACACCAGCCAAAGGGATTGCTCAAAATCCAACAGCCCAAAAGTTGTTTTTATTAATGACTTACAACTAATCTCTAATATAATTATGATAAGTGACTGATAATTATTAATAGAGTGATTACAACTCAGATAATATTTTAGTTACATTTCACAATGCGACTCTATTTTGGCAAATCATCAATCAATCAATCAATCACATTTTCAGTTTAAAGAACTTAATTTTCCACCTAAATGTTGGCAATAGACAGATTGTGATGACAGTGTAAAAAACAGCAGCTTAAGTCAATAAAAGTTTCGGAACAACTTAAATAAAATGATCCCTCCTCATTTTCCAACTGCCATGAGGAAAAACAGGATTCTTTATAAACCAGTTTTAAAAAGGTGCCTCATTAATCATTTTAATCATCATTTTACGAGTACCATCAGTTATACAGTATGTTGTGGACGTTGTGAGACATCTGAAGTTTGTGCTCCTACCACAATTTGCGGTCTTCAAATCATTGTAAAATTACATTAAAAACACTCAACAGCAACATGTTTCCTCAAACGTAGACCTCACTGTCCTAAAATGTGGTCCCTGAAAATCTGCTCAAGGGAAGGTCAAAATATGTTTTGTATTTCAGTGATTTGGGTGAACTGACCCTTTAATGGATGGGAAAATGAACTTTGCACACCAACATCCTAAAACTTGACTTTGCAGAAACTTCATTTCCTGAAATGTGTCAAACGAAAGAGGATTAAATTCAATCTGGAAACAATCAAATTCAAATATATACACATGTAAACTACGCGGCTGTCCTCACCACCATTACACACACTGACACCCGATTAATGCAATGTTTCTGCACCGCCATCATCTTTATTTATTTGTTCGCATTCACTTTCTTTGCTTGTAATGGCAGCTCGGGTCCTGAACTCCAAACAAAAAAGATCATCAAAGCCAAAACAAACTGGTATTGTCCAATTTGGTCATTTGTATCAAGTGTCTGTTTTCGTTTTATCGAGAGTCCTGAGAAATAAGGCAGGAATTCATATGTTTGATGCTTGTAAGTGGGTCCAAATGTGTTCCCTTACAGCTCTGCTCAGGCTGTGAACCATCAGCGCTCACTCCACAGAGCAGAGCTGGGAGAGGTGCCAACACTGCAACATCACGGAGAGGAAGAAGAAGAAAAATAAGAAGAAGAGCAGCCAATGCTGCAAACAAATGTGTTCTTCTCAATTCAGGGGCCTTTCTGCGTCACGTCCCTGCAGCTCTCTTTGCCCTTTAAGATGCTGGTCTGTAACTTTGTCAGAGTGCGAAGGAAACGTCAAAGTATAGGTCACCAGTGTCACCACATAGCGCAGGAGGAGCTGAAGAATTGTGACGACGCAAATGTGTCACACCTGCTGGTCTGAGTGCTACCTTTTCCTACCATTCAAATGCACATGGTAATTGTGGCATGTGGTGACTGACACAGAGCAGAAATCCAAAATGAGCCTTTTTTTTTCAAACACGGAGTCAGAGTGCGCTCTCTGTTCAGCAGTGATTGATTGCATTAATCCATCTTGACAACATATGTAAACACAAGCAAATGGTGCCTGTAAACAGGAACTGCTGAGTCTTTTAGCACCAAAACTTTCTCTTGTGCAAAAGCAGAACACAACAATATCAACTGGATGTCATTATTGGGGAAATTATGAAATTCTGGAGGGAATGCAGGCATGCTTTTTTTAATTTCTTTTTATGAATTCTCTGATTATCCTTGAACTTGTGACCTTCTTTGCACAACAGATGCTTATCTCTGTGTTGTGTTATGCTATTAAGAATCTGGTCGATTTCACCCCTTGGAAGCTTCTTCGCCTCGAGGAACTCAAGAGCTGCAGCAATGGGTAGACGGACGGTGACATGGTTCTTTACCTCTAAAGAGGGTTAAAAAAAAAAAAAAAAAAAAAAAAAATAAAAAGCCACAAAGTACTGCAAGTTAATTTCACATAAACCAACTCTGTCAGACAAAATCAATGTTAGAAAAGATAGAGGCGTAAAAAAATGGGTGTCAGTGCAAAAATAAAAGAGACATAAAGTGGACAATGTAAAAATCCAGCCACACCAGTAGGAGAGTGAGCAGAGTAATTAATAGTCTTCATCAAACAATGCATATGAAAGACTGGAGCAGGAAATTGGTTGAGTAGAGGTGCCTGGAGTCTGTACAGAACGTCTGGACTTTATCTTTGCTTTGACGTCACAAGGAATTTGTCTTGCACGTCATATTCCTTTTTCATATTCCTGCAGTAAACGGTGGCAGACGATGCATAGATGGTTAACCACAGCCCCATTTTCCTATAATGTGGTCTGGCCCTTTAGCAATGTAATTCTGATTCTCAGTATTTTTTTTATTTATTTATTTTTTTAGTTTCCCTCATCCCCCACCCCTCCACACCAGCGAATCCCACCAACCCTCGTCGTGTCTCCTCTTTTCTCCACCTTGTGTTCGCTTTTCTCATCCCCCCCCCCGACGCCACCACCTTCCCTCCTCCTCCTCCTCCTCCTCCCTGTTGCTATGACTCATCGTCTCTATTAGCGGATAAAACGGTATTAGAGAGCCAGGAACCAAAGGGCACGATCTGCTCATTCATCATGCATACTCTTACATCAATGCATCTTTACCCGTTTGATCCAGCTAATTAAAGCATATTGAAAAGCTGATTGTGCCTCTAACAGTGAACAACTACAGACGGGCGACAAATTCAAGGAGAAAGTAACATAACTCTCTACTGGAGGGATGAACGCCATTCCTCCAAAAGACATTTCCTCATTTGGTGTTTTGCTGATGGTGGTGGAGAGCGGTTGAGATCTGGAAACCTATGATTCACGTCATTTTCATAACTGTACTTGCTGAAAGTCTGATTGCGTCCTGCGTTGAGAGTCTCAGTCACCTGAGGAAAAGTTGCTCCTCTGTTTTTCCTTACCTATCACACTCCAGCGTCACGAATGTTTGCTGTCGACCACAATTTCCTATTCACTAACGTCTTTCTCATAGACAGTAAATGCAGATGTCACTATTGAGACTTCAGCCAGTTGAGCGGTCTTTGTGACTGAGGCTCCTGCCATCTATACCCCAACAATCAACCTCTTTCAAAGTCACTTAGATCTTTTGTTCTTACCATCTTGTTACAAAACCAGAATCAACAGGGCCTGTTACAGCTTTTTTATATCTGCCACAGAGCCTGATTGTGTGGAAGCATCTGTGTTTCTCCAGTCATGTATTAAGGTGTTTCCTTTATAATTTGTCACCCGTCTGTATCTTGCCCTGCAGAACAGGAACAGCTGATAAACACTCAACACTCAAATATCCTGGAGGTTTCTGCTGCATTTTCATTGGTTTCAATATTGTTTTTGTTTCAACTGATAAAATCTTAATAACCTGCGGCCCACAGGAGATCGTACACTAAAACAAGGTAGAGTGGGATTTATATACAATGTTGGAGCGGCCATTGGGAGGATCGGGACTTTTCCCGATGGGCCGGTACGCACATTGGGCTCAATATGAATGAAGAGAGAGGGAGAGGGAGAAAGACAGTGTGAGCAAGAGGGAGGGAGATAGAAGTGGCTGTGGTTCTATGTTCTCACTGTTGCTGACTCATTTTACATGAATAAGAAAGTAAAAAAAAAAATCAAACAGTTCTGGATGAAAAGCTCAGAGAAAAGTCCCAGCACAGCTCCCAATAAGTCCAGTAGTCAAGTTTGCAGCATAAGCAGTAGGCAGAATAGAACAGGAAGCTTAGTAGTCGTGGGCTGTCATATGAAAAGATGTTTCATACAGTTTTTCTTCACAAAATAAATAATAAAATCATCACTGAATCTGTAATTGAATTGAAATGACAATTACACTACATTATTATATTACATTACAAATCATATTAACATAATTTATGTGCAGGTGTTACTATTTTGTGTATACAATTCATCATGTTTATAGTTAGATGCTGAGAAACTAACCTTTCCTGAAAAACTAAAAGTATGAATACATTTTCTAAAGTGCAGAAATGAATAATTGAAGAATAAAATTCAACACATCCATTTCCTGTTTCATGGTAAATATGGGTGAATCTTTATTTACCACAACCCCCCTTAATTCCCCACTTCCTGCCAGTGTAACCCCCCCCCCCCCCCCCCCATGGCCTCTCAATCCTGGTTTGGGATGAGTGCCAGCGTCAGCAGCGCTGAAATATTTATCAGTCGCCTCCACTTTTCTCTGCTGTCATGGGAGACAAGACAACCGGACCTGCCTCACTTAGTGAACCATTCAGAAAAACCTGCCCTGCAAACTGTCTGAAGATCTGAGAGAAAAAAGGCAGAGCCTCACGAGTCAGAGTAGTGTTTAAGATGAGCCGTGCTGGCCGACTGGAACGGGGCTCACTGGGGATTTAAAAGAGGAAAGAAAGTAGAATCACAGCCTCGTCTGGAGAGAACCGAAACACGGCAGCAAGAATCGCTTCCAACTTTGGATCATGAGGGATGAAGAAAAGGGGAAATGGAGATTGTCCTCCGGCAGGTCCTCTGTGGTCGTGTCACAGGAAGTTTCTTCCCTACATGGCGTTCCAGAACAGGTCCTCCAACTTAGATCGCCATATAGGTCGCTTGTCCTACCCTCAGATTCAACCCATAGGAGCGTATCAGATACACCAAACTTAGTTGTCATGCCTTGATCTGGTTAGGTTTAGGCACAAAAACTACTTGGTTAGATTTGGGAAAGGGTCATGGTTTGAATTAAAATAAATACTTCCTTAGAAGCAGAGCACTTTCGTTGTCATAGTTACTATAATAAACATGTGGTTACATTTGTGTAATGGTCCTGGTTCGAAGAGTCAGTTTCACACGGGAAAATAACAGAGGTCTGTTGGGTGAAAGTCTGTGTTTTGCTGACCCATCCATCCACCCCAACTTTATCCTAACATGCCGCTCTATAAACTACGCCATCTAGCTTCCTCCTGCTCCCGTCATAATTGCTACGACCACTGGAGGTCGCCTAACAATAAAATGTAACTATGGGTCGTAATAACCTGCTTGCACAGTTAACCTCGTTTGTTACAGGAGGACAGTCTCAACCCTAACAAAGCAAAAAGCAAAAGTTGAGTAGAACAGGATGCAGGAGTAAATGCTGATGGTTAAATTACAGCTTGCCTCCTAATAATAGCTTCGGTAATATCCTAAAACACCTGTTTCAAATCTGGAGGGAAGCTAAATGGACCAATGAAGCAGGGAGATAATTAAACACAGAAATGTTTCATGTTTAAAAAGATAATAGAAACTGTCACGCAGCTTTCCAAATGTTGATCATTTATCCACAGTCAGCAACGGGTCAGTGGTTCAGGTGGGAAGAAATTGGTGTCTCTGCTGAAATGTCTGACATGCTGTGGAGTGGGAGAAATGTCTGGCCTCGCTAAAAGCTTACACCTAAAGTGCTGATTGTGAAGATAATCGGGCAGTTTCAAGGCCATCCAGAGCTACATTATTGATGACGCTAATGGGGCCGAAACACATCAGTGTTTGAAGGGGGGTCTTCACAGGCTGAAGTGACACACTTTAAGTGCATCATTCCCCCATACACAGACACATCTCCCTTTACCGATGATCGTTTTTACTGCCGTACATGAAAACTCTTAACACTGAGCTGCACTGATCATTGTTCATTTGGGGACAATTATAAAGAAGATCATATTTTATTCAAGAAGACACTATCTACCTGACTCTAGATGGCACTGTATTTTCTTCTTGTGCCCCCCCCCCCAGATGAAAGCAGGAACACATAAATTAGATACACACATGCACAAGCCACACACTTTTATCCTCTGTCAGTTGAACCCAGTGCATATGGTCACATTTAGACGTGTTTACACACAAGGTCTGCAAGGGCTCATGCATGCAAGTTAAAAGTAGCGAGGAAGCCTGCGCGCTGTGGGATAATTGAAATGAATGAGGAAGAGAGCTTTGAGCCCGACTGCAAAGAAAACAAAGGCCTCGAGCTCACAAATTCAAATAACCGCTCACCTCAGAGGTCTGTTGTTTGTCTGGATCGTTCAGCCAGTGACACTGTCCTCTATCACTTCTGCCTCCAGACAGGATTAAGAGAAAGGGGTGATGAAAGAAAGAGAAAAGAGAAAACACTGCATCTGATGGCGAATGCGTTTACCTGAGGAGGAAACTGCACTGCATTTCCCCTAACCATTCCCTTTCCAGTCGCACTTCCTCAACACTTTGATCACTTGGTTTGGACTTGGAAAACCAGACCACCCGCGACGTGAAGGCTGCTTCCGATTGCGTGGTGTCAAACAGCCTCGAGATTCATTCAAGCAAATCGAGCGGTCACTCCTGCAGAGCTTGTTGAGCCGCCTTTCTGCCTACACCCCTACCTGTATCTATCATATCATTACCTCCGTCTGCTCCACTCAGTCTGCCTGTATAATGTGACAGCCTTCATCCTCGGCTTCTTAGCCGTGCTGCTGTTTACAAGGTGGTTAGAGCTTCAGTCTGTGCCAGTGTTTACTTGCCAGTTCCGCTTACAACGCAAAAGCTAGTGCTGGGACATTGCTGCAGGGCTTTTCACACTGACAATATGCTGTTGCTCAACACGACACCCACTAAGCAGTTCACTTGGAAAACACACACACACACACACACACACACACACACACACACACACACACACACACACACACACAGAGACATATGCAAATGCAGATAAGAGCTGTGCACAAGTCCCACATATTTACAGTCACACCCACTCCCAATGATTTTTTCACTCTAAAGCAATGAGTGAGTTAGTGAAACAGGCGATGTTGAGTGTTAATTAAGCACGTCACGTCACTCTAACGCACGGAGGTTAAACAGTTCACAAAGCTGTTTTGACATGTGTTCCTCTCTCATAATCATATGTTATGAAATTTTCATGCTGGATGAATGAATGGTGACCTTCCAGCTGCACTTTGCTGCCCCTCTAATGTTTCCTGTATGCAGCAGGGATTAAAACATCACACATGGTGCCGTTTCTGTCTGAACTGCAGCTCTTGCAAGGTGACCGTTCTCATGTTAAGCACGCTACAAAAAATGTAAAATGGGATTTGGAGAACAGTGAAGCTGCCTCTGTAGTGAATCGGAGCTGCAGTGTTTTTTTTCTTCCCCCTGTGAGCCTCTCCACTCCACTCCCATCTCATTCATCCACTAAAAACACATCCGTAGTGGACCCACACTTACACTTACACCCCCCCCGCTCTCACTATCTGACATCCATCAGATCGTATACTCTCCACATCTTTATACTTCTAAAATGTCTATCTGCTTATAAACAGTGTGCCATATAATAATGGACACTTTCTGCTAGCCCACCCTAGGGACCTCTCAGCGTAAGAATAAACTAATTTGAGGTCACTTCCTCAGCGATGAACTCTCCTGAGTCCTCACAATGCAAATGTTCCTGAAGAGCAAATCTGAAGTGTTTGAAGTAATTGAAAAGCAGCAGGCAATTAGTCAGCACGGCTTTTACCTCATTCCCTTCAACGCTGTTCTCCACTACTCAGCTGTGGTCTGCTATCTCTTTTGCTCACAACAAAAATCAATATAATGCAATAGAGTTGTCCTTAAAATGGCTGTCTTTTTGAAACATGCATTGATTATTAAAAAGGCACTATTTTAGTTCATTTTTTTAAATCAGGCCAGAGAGAGGACACAGGCAATTTGCAGAACCACATTTGTCTAGCTCAGCAGTCCACATCTTATGAAGGTTGAGCAAATGGGTGTCACAAACCAAAACTAACTTTTTAGCCACACTAGCACTGTGATGCTCCAGATATGATGGATTGCAATGAAAAGCTGTTGGTGGTTCCTAGAGGATATACCCTTTGGTGATCCCCTAACTTTACCTCTAGTGCCACCATGAGGTTTTTAGTGAAATAATTCAACAACTATTAGATGGATCACCATGAAATTTGGTGTGCACGTTTATGTTCTCCTATATTGAAATAACTTAATTTAATTTCGCATCAGCATTGTGTCAAAATATTTTTTATGTCCCACAGTTTGGTTTATGATGAAATACCTGCAACTACCTACCTGATATCCCCCTTAAGCTTCAGCTGTAGGTTACTTTGTGTGTATGCTAGTGCTAATTAGCAAATGTTAGCATACTAACATGCTAAACTAAGATTGTGAACATGGTAAATGTTCCCCTGACCTTTCCTGAAACACCAAACACCACGAGTTTGACATTTGTGGCCTGGAGTGAAGTCTTTTGACAACTGTTGGATGGATTGGATGAATAGATGAAATTTGATTGTTACAGCTCAGAGCACACAGGCTTCAGATGCATGACACAGAGACAGCAATGAAAAGTTCAAACATTTCACCTTTAGTTAAGGGTAATGTAGGAAAGGGCAGTTAAGGGCATAGGCAAGGGGCAAAGTCAGTACGTGCACCCAAATCCAAAATTATACTTAGATTATACTCTCTGTGTGTGTTTAGATAAGTTTAGATCAAGTAATGTGAATAACGTATTGGAAAACATTAAGCAAACTGAATTAAAGCTTTCCAGAAATGCTACGATTCTGACAAAATGACTCACTGTTTCATCTGTATCTCTCTAAAGCATCTAAATGCCACTAAGTCATCGCTTGATGAGTTTTTAAAATCTTTAAAATCATCTGTGCATCACTGTAAGCATGTGGATGCACCTGCACTTCACTCTGTGTGCATGACTGAGATCGAAGCAGTTTACTCAGCACAGCACAAACACATTGAGATCGATATCGTAATGAGCACAGCAGGCTTTTGACTTGCTCCCCAACAAGAGCACCTTTCTTGCCCTGCAGCACAAATCACTAAGATCCCAGTGGATCAATGTGTCCTCCCTTCCAATGTGCAGTAAACATTATTAATGTCATTAGACTCACTGTTTATCCCCCGTTTATCAACTCATATGTGCTGCTCTCTCCGTCTTCTAACCTCCTTTTCTCTTTTCCCCCTCTAAAATTTCCTCCTTACTTTTCTGTCTTGTCTCCTTCGACCTGTCCTCTGCTCTGCAGGTGAGACCTTCTCAGAGAACTACAGTCACACAGAGCAGTGCAGGCCATGCACACAATGTACCGGGCTGATGCGGTTAGAGACGCCCTGCACAGACTCCAACGACGCCGTCTGCGTCTGCAACTACAACTTCTTCTTCGACACGATATCCGGCCGCTGCGAGCCCTGTACAGTGTGCCCTGTAGGACAGGGCGTGTTTGCTCACTGTGAACACAATCATGACACGGTGTGCGAGGAGTGCGTGGACGATACCTTCTCTGACCGGGAAAGCTCCCTCGAACCCTGCCTGCCCTGCGCCATCTGTGATGACGAAACTGAGATACAGCTGGCCTTGTGCTCGCCAACCCGTGACTCTATCTGCCACAGTAAGTCATCTCCACACTCAAGTCGCCTTCACACCTGGAGGTCAGGTAACTTGGTCCACACCATAGAAAAGAAAGAGATATATTGTTGGTCCATTTCACAAACCAAACTAAGAGCTGTAAACCTGAAGTCATATGACCATCAGTGGGCAAGTTTGGACTCATCATAGATTGTCAGCATCACATGGGAAAATTTAAACTATAGCTAAAATGACTAGCTATAGTCAATGACTGACTGGAAGAAAAGTAATTGTCAGGTTTTATTCACAACTGATTAAGCAGTATTTCTACAGGCAAAAACATTGTCTGCCGCTTTTCTTTATCTTGAGTGATAGTAAACTGAATAAGATCATTGGATGGACAAAACAAGTAATTTCAAGATGTCAAATTGGGCTTCAGAAACTTGCAATTGTTTCTATCTCCAGCAATTAATTGAATATTTGAAAAAAAAAAAAAAATCATACTTGCCACCCAATTAAAACAAAGTTTATTGAGGTGACTGACCACAGTCGTGCTGCATTTTACCAGAAATTATGGGTTATTTTCTCTGGTCTTTACAAAGAGCTGATCTGTTAAATAATGTCTGACGGTGAAAACAAAACGGAACTTCTTATACGGTAATATTTTGAAGGTGATAGCTGCTAGTCATGGTCACTACGTTTTCCTTATATTTCAACTACGTCTTTGTTTACCTCTTTTTATCATGTTACCATGGTCACCAGGTAATAACAATACATGAGACTGGTTTCTGACAGTTTCCACAATGGGCAGATGGATCAAGTTAATAGATTTTTAGTTTAGTTTTGAATTCATTGCAAACACAGTCCTGTCCTACATCACAATAAAACCCCAGTTTTGAATCCTATCCTATGTTGTTTAGTCCAGTTGAATTGGCCTTGTTTTCAGTTAGTTTGGGCAGATCTGAACACAGCAGTCACACTACAACTAGAGGGCATACTCTGCAAGACTGAGCTAAACTGCTCCCCTAGCCCAGTGAGCTTTGCTAGCAGGAGAATGAAGCGAAGCCCGGCCTGGACGAAACAACAAAGCACGTTGCCTTCTTGATACTTGGATAGAGAAGATCTCCAATAGGTGAACATTTTTTTCTGTGTGAAAAGAGCCTCAAAACGCAAGAAACTCACCAACTCATCAACTGATTCGTACCACAGCAAACAAACTATAGGTCTGAAAAGGTCAGTGGAAATGAGAGCCCTCCTTGGTGTGGCTGTTTGGCCCAAATCAGAGTTCAAATGACATGTTCACACCAGCCTTATCAACCAGAACCAAATAGGGAGACACAACAGTTTGTTTGAGCTGCACCAAATATGTTAAATGTGAAAACACCCTTACTAGAGAACAAGAGTAGTCCCAGACCACAAACTGCAACCGGCTGCCAGTAACATCAGAGCTGTGTTAGAGGCATCATATATGTCTCAGTTATATTTGAACCAGATACCACGGGGTGACTCTCACATGTGTGTGTAGGAAGAGGCGAGGTCAGAGGTCGGCCCTGGTTAGATTTTCAAATGGCAGCAAGTTGAAAGCTTTATCATTAAAAGGTCAAAGACTACTACAGTGTCAACACAGAGACAAACACTAATCAGCTCTCCCACAGAGCAGAAGGCAACAGTGGAGGAGCAAAGTCGAGCTATTTGTATCTATGAGGAAAGGCGGCTCGTATACAAGGAAGTTGTAAATTGTCTCGGGTCGGATGAGGCATGAAATCGACCTCATCAGGGGGTTACAAGGCTCAAATCTGGGAGGTATAATGTCGTGGGTGTTATTGCTCTCAGGTTCGTTGCTGAAAATCTGTTATCCATCCTTAAGGCAATCCCCGATAAGTCAGGATTGAACAGAACAGCCTTTTCTCAACAATGGACCCTGATTTCAGAAGAAGTTTGTGGTTCTGGTTTGTTCCTGAGATGCTCTTCTCCTACCATGTGGATTTTTTTTAATGCAAACTTTGACCAGAGGCACTTTAGTTGCAGAGTGATTAAATGCTTTTAAGCAACCTCTTAATAGCTGGAACATTTGCTAATGTGGGGCCTTTTATTGATCTCTTCTGCATTATCATTTTTAAATGAATATATTAATGACAGTGTTTAATATGAATGTTGGGATTTAGGCTTGAGCTGCAATATGTGTCTTTGGAGGACTGACTTGTTCGAGGTTTCAGATATTTTTCATGGCCTCAGAGACCGGCAGGTATTTGGATCTAAGTTAATGAACCTCAAAAATCTGTCAACACCTTGTTGTAGTGCAGTGTTTGTGCTAGCACCACAGGGAGGTTGTCAATTCCTCTTTTAATAGACTGTAATAGCACTGACAGGCAGTGGAGAAATGGACTAAGGAAAGATAAGAGTAGGAAAGGTAAATGAGGTGGAAGAAGGGCTAATAACATAGATGATGACTTAACACCTTTCCTCCCACAAGTACCAAACACCATCTAAGGTGCTACAAATGAGACCATTCAAAATGTGACCTCTGCTTAGCTCTGTGCTACATTTTAAATTGTGGGCCATCAGGTCAAATTTAGCAAGAAATCTGCCAGATTGGTTCACAACAGTAAGATCATATCATGGCATGAAAGAGTGCTCAGGTGATGTTCTTTCCAGCAAAAAATGAGATAAAGTTTTTGCAGTTTTTAGCCATGCAAGTGGTTTGGCTGATGGCAATTTCAGCCTGTTAGTGGATTCACCTTTTATGTTCCAAACCAAAATATCTCAGAAACTATTGGATGAATTTTTAAGAAACTTTGTACAGACATTCATGGTCCCCAGAGGACGAATCCCTCTGACACAGGTGGCCTCCTGACTTTTCGTCTACTGTGTGACGTGAATTTGACTATTGCACTGTGGAATAAAATATTTCAACAACTATTAGATGAATTGCCATGAAATTTGGCACAGAAATTCCTCTTCCCTTCAGTATGAATTGTAACAACTTGTGAGCCCAAATCTTCATCTACCGCTACTGTTAGGTCAAAATATCAACATTTGGATTTTTTCAATACTTTTATATACTTTTAATTTAATGACTAAACTAATGGCACTCCCATTAGCCTATGCTGTATATTTTTTGCTGGGTAGCTAATGTTAGCATGCTAAACTAAGATGGTGAACATTATTACTATCATACCTGTTGAAGATCAGTCTCACCAGTGTCAAAGTTGCTAGTGTGTCTATCATTGGTGAAGGTGAAGGTGAAGGCAGTAACAGATGAAACAAAACAACAATCTGTTCTCCTTCTCGCTAACATGAACACATGTTGAAGCAACGTCCACATCTGTGCCCTGATACTCAAATTTCATACTTGTCAATACTTGCATCATGTGGAAAAGCAGCAAAGGCGTGCGAAAAAATGTCGTCCTTGCTGTATTCAAATTTCCCGAATAATACAACAAGTTTGAAGTTGTAATGAGAGCTTGGATGGTCAGAGGGTAGGAATGACTTTTTTTTCCCCTGCTTCTTGCCAACTCTGCCTTATTTCTTTTCTCATCAGGCCCCAGATTCCACCCATATCTAAACAAGCGTTATACTGTACAGCAATGTGGTGCAGTCAAGACTTCTGCTGATTCTCAGCAAGCACAGAGGAAGGCATGTTTACTCTGAAAGAACCCTCACGGCTAATGTGACAGGACTGACAGCCATCAAAAGAAAACCGCCCCTTACAACCCCTTAAAGACCCGCAATATGTATTCTAGAAATATCTGATGTACAGTAGTGTACAATACAGCCTTTTGCTGCCCATTTGGCGCCCACCCATGCTGCTGGTCTCACCTTTGACCTGCCTCATCCTGAGCGATGGTACTGTGGTGGTGACTGGAGATGGCACGATAAGTGACCTTGTGGGACGCCTGCTTGAAAGAAGAGCCCTGTCATATAGCACTAGTGGGAATGGGGGTAATGGCTGCAGTCACATGTGGGGATGATGATGTTTCCAGGCTTTCCATGGTGGTCTGAGATGACTGTGCATACAGATATGTTTTCTGCAGCAAACAGGAAGCTGCCTCACTGGTATTCTCATCCAGTCTGTGTATTTTATTTATGTGAGGAAAATATATTTTTTAAAATTCCTCCCCCGCCGTTATTCTCTCTCGTCTACATATGGGAAGAAGATATGATTGAGGTATTATCAAATCCCCAAATCCCCAGTTCATATCCAGCTGTCACCAAGTGTCAATTACATGATACAATGACAGAGACAGAAAAAGAGAGAGGGAGAAATAGAGATAAAAACAGACAGAGAGAGCTGCAGCATATGTGCTGTGCTGGTATTCTGTGCTGAGGGGTCGATATGAGTCCTGGGATTTCTTCTGCTCATGCTCAGGTTTCGCTGAGTGACCTCTATGAGCACCCACGCTCGACTACAGGACACACACACACACGCGCGCACACACACACACATACGCAATCTTTTACAAGCTTAGTCCTCTCCTCCTCCAGACACACACACTTTTTTATGAACATTCAAAATCAATACAGCAGATAGTAGGCTAACATGGCACATGCACACTCATCCCCCTGCCAAGTGCGCTTTAACTTCTACATTTTTCATTAAAACCCCAGACACGGCACATGTGTGAACCTCTTTGATCTGATATTGAAAACACCCACTGCATCTCTTATTGAAGGTCTCTGTCCATTTTGGCCTCAGCAGAGCTTTTCTGAAAGGTGCTGTTGAGTCTTCAGCTGAGTAGATCTGCATTAAACGTGAAGTGCTGAGTGTCCGTTCGAGTGTTTGTCCTCGAGAACAAGAGAGGGAAAGATTAACAAAACAGATAAAGGCAGACTTCTTTTCTTCTTATTACCCCGCTCATACCTCCCTCTCCTCCCCCCTCTGTGCATCTCTTCCCACAGTGGCCCTCGAGTGGCTGGGCTACCGGAGCGGTGGAAGGTGGCCAGTGTGCATTCAGCGCCTTCACCGCTGCAGTATAATTACTCCTGCTAATCAGAGCACTTTACAGCAGCTCCTCTGTTCATCTGCACCCCTCCCTTACTCTCTCCTAACACTCTGCCTCTCTGTCTGCCTCCCCTCTCCTCTATTAACCCTCCCGAACAGAAGACAGAGCGCTCACTTGAATAATTTGTAGTTTGTGTGTGTGTGTGTGTATGTGTGTGTGATGGATGTGTGCAAGTCAGGCGACAAACACTGAGGAAGATTGAGATAGAGGCCGAGCTGAGACAGAGGGAGAGTGTTTGGCGGCTGATAAAGAGGTCATTGTACATGTGCTGAGCCTGATAGTTGCTCATCTCCACCCTGAACTGGCAGCAGCCAAGACATCAACCTCCACACAGCACCCTGGGGTTAACTTCACCATAAAGACCTCAATGGCTCATAAAAATTAAATCTTTTTTTTCCTGCCCCCCTGGTCCACACCCTGCTAATAAACACATCTCCCTGCACACACAACCCCACGCTCATAAAATCCCGGGCTAGTTTTATTCTGTTTCATGAGTGTTTTAAACTCACTGAGGCCAAAATGAAATTGTTAAAGCTCCACCGCCGCCTATAAGCTCCCATTCTGCTCCAGCTGAGGTATGCAGCCTCTGGAGCCCCGCGTTTATCCTTTTGTCTATGGCCAACCCTGCCGTGTTTTTCTGCATCAGCCCAGAGAAACGGAGAAAAAGAGGGGGAGTTACAATAAAGATGTAGCGTAGTGTACCTTAGCGGCTGCCGCTCTCTGTGTTGAGTGAGTGTTATGTAAAGTAGAGTCCTTGGAGAGCTGTCATCATGGCTCAGACTGAGAGACACAATTTACAGCGGGTCCTGAGGTGTGACTGATGCATTTATACATCTGCATGAAGGGAAAATTCGTTGTACCAAAGAAAGGCGCTCACAGTGGTGTAGAATGACTGATAGCTCAGTGTGATAAAGGGGAGGCTGTAAGGATTCTAAAGGATTCTTTGACGTACTGTATATAAGACCCGTCCGTCTGCACACTTTCACTCACTTTCACACTTTCCATTCACAATTTATTCTATTTGCCAGCTCGTGTTGCATAGCTAATACCATTAGCCGGCCCTGCATTAGCCGGATGATGTATGGTGTAGCTGAGGAAACCTGACTACATCCCAGGAAAGGTCAAGAGATGCATGTAATACAGACACCCATGTTCCACTCCTCTGAATCCGCCCTCCTTTTAGACAGACCCGAATCAATAGCACAGCTTTAAATAGACCTCTGCATTATTTCTGTGTTTCTAAGTATGGCACGCACATGTGCCGTAGTTTTTCTGTCCATGAAGGATAATTTCTCCCATTTCAGTAAACCAATCTCCCCCTCGGGAGGCAGGAATGCCCCGTCATCACCACGCAGACAGACAGACCAACGTGGACTCCTAATGACCAACAGAAGTTTTTCAAATACGTCCACCTAAGTTGCCCATCGAGGTCCCATCGGACTATTAAAGGGAGTAACCGTGTGTAAATTATGCAACAAATCAATGTGGAGAAACTTGACTATCTGCCACGTCAGTGAAAACAGAATACCTGTGTAGACAGCCTCGGCCCGTGATGGTCCGCTGAATGTCTTTTTTTCTTGTAGACTCTCATCTGACCACATCAGTGGCCACAACAATCATTTGATCAAATTTTCTTCCCCAAATTCTCCATTTAAAAAATACACTAAATTTATTTACAAGATGATTTGAAACTAATTGTGTCTTAGATAATTTGCTCGTCTGCTTAGTACTAACACTTACATACACCATTAACGAAGCTGAGTTAGAGAGGTGATAGCATTTAAATATAATGGTATATTGTGGGTTTTGGCTTGATTTATTGCTGTCACTTTAGAAGAGTAGAGGTGAATGATCGATTGATTGTGATGCTAAAAGCAATGACAATTACACTTAAACTCCAACAGCAACTTGTCTTTGGTCTTTGTAAGAACAATGTCCTCACACTGTCAACAGTTTTCAGAGAGATTATTTCATCAAGTAGTTCCAATGAAAACTGCGGTTTATTCACAGCAGAAATGTCAGAGGTGGATACCTCACACCCTGGACAAAGAAAACTAAAAATATCTGGGTTGCTCGATACCAGAAGAGGTAAATGAGAAAATATGGTATTTATTTATGTATTGTTATTTGGATGAACTGGCCCTTTTAAAATAAGGTCATGTGAACTCTTCTGTAACTTATCAAATCCCCAAATTGTGAATAATTTAGCCATGATTTAACTGAATATACTGTGAATATTAGTGTAGACAGTGTACTAAGAGCAGGTAACTAGTATTAATATATACAGTAGCTGTGTAAATTTTGAGAGAAACTCCATGAATCAGCAATTCAGAGTGAAAGCTGAATGAACTTACAATACATGACAAACATTTAGAAATCCTTTCTGGGTTTATCCATCATGCTTTGGAGTTACACCCCAAAAAACAGAACAATTGTAAAGTAGAACAACCCCTAAAGTGTTTGGGCTACAACGTCCCAGTCTTTGGCCTTGAAGGAAGCCTTAGGGGTCTCCACAGGGTTAATCCTGTGAGCGCCAGTATGAAGCTAATGAGGAGCAGCCTGAGGTTCTGCTGGGAATTACAGTCTCAGATCTGAGCCGGGCTGCACATTCTCCATCCCCACCAGGCTGCTGAGCTCTGAGGAGTTTTGGTTTTGGCCGGACAGGCCCTCTCCTCGGCTTGCTGTACCGTACCCTGAGGGGGGGAATGATCTGCAGGCTACTCTGTGAGACTTTCTACCATCTGACAGAATCACTGCAGTGTTACTTACAGTACTTTTCAAAATAGAAAGCATAAGATGACAGGACCGTAGGAGAGATTTGATGGATGCATTGTGTTTTCAGGACAAATCATGCCCATCAGAGTGGGCACTGCACTGCTGCAAAGGGGGAAATTACACTGAATCATTAATGGAGCTCACAAAGAAATAGGAAATAGGACAAATTGTGAAAATGACTGTTTCCAGGCTTAGCTGTGATAGAAACCAGACCCATCCAGTAGCACAGAGCTTTCCTGCCTCTCTGGCCTCAGTAAAGGCTACACTCCACATGATGACCTCCCTAAAGCCCCAGACTGTGTTTTCCATGATCCCATATGACCTTAATGTCATGCAATGGGCAGAAATCAAACAGATGGGGATGTGGTGAGAGGAGACCAGGCGCATGGTGTGGGGTGGGCTGGTGGGTGACGGATATTTGCCCCCATCATAGAGGAACATTCCTTTGCTTTTTGCACACAGCAACTCAGCCAGCACCCATCTGTCTATCAGAAACAGCTGCTGCATGTGCGCAGTGTATCAGACATCTGGTTGGGGACTCGGTGCAAACAAGCTCTCAGAGAAGATATGAAAATGTGTCGGCATGGCAGGATTTCTTCTCAGCCAGGATAGCGGTGTGGCTCAAGGGGACAGCAGTGTCTGTCAGTCGGTCCAGACTGAAATATCTCAACAACTATTGAATGGATTTAAATTTGGTGAAGATATCAATGGTTCCCAGAGGATGAATCCTAATGACTTTGGTGATCCCCTGACTTTTTCTCTCACATGACCATGAGGTAGGCATTTGTGGGTTTGAGTGAAAATAAGCAAATGTTGGCAAGCTGGCAACATGGTAAACTAAAATAGTAAACACCATCTAGTGCGGCTGTAAAGTCTTAACTTTGTTTCTTTCTCAGTTGTATCTAGGTGTGTTTCTTCTCTCATAAAGGCTCATTTCTCTCATCTTCTTCCACACAGATCCTAACCTACCTACAGATATATCTCCCACCTCGGACATGGCTTCATCTCCACCCCCCTTCACCAATTATTTCCCCCCGGATGGCTCCGACAGCCCTTTGCCAGGTGGAGAGACGACAACATCGAGCGCTGGCTCTCCTCGCTTCCTTGGCCACGGCCTCAATGAAAACCTCATCCCTATCTACTGCTCCATCCTGGCTGCTGTGGTGGTGGGCCTCGTGGCTTATATTGTTTTTAAGAGGTCAGTTGGATGAAAAGACAGAGATGGAAAGCTTGCTCTGTGGCCAAAGACATTAGCACAATTGGGTTTTACACCTCAGCCACGATATAATCTAGGGCAGAGAGGGTGAACAGTGATAGTAATGGTGGTCTGGTTGGGTGATGTTAGAGTGACAGATGTTGCCCCAGGCTACACAATGGCAGGAAGGTGGCTGGTGAAATATTCAGGCATGCCGTGGTCAAAGGGGTTTTGACCCAGTTTTCAGAGAATCACTCAATGAGCTTTTTTCTAAAAAAAAAAAAAAAAAAGAAAAAGAAAGAAAGGTCACACCACTTAATGCATTATAAAGGTCACACACATGAACACATTAGTGAGGACATGCAACCACGCATTCAAGCACTCAGACAGACAGATACAAGCCCAGGCTAAAACACATTTGAAGCAAGTAAACAAGCTCATTAAAGGCATTGATTGTTTGAAAAGTGCCGACCAGGGGAAATTTGAGTGCCAGATTTATCAGCCTACAGACGCACACATCTGGCTAATACTCCTCCTGCACAAACAGACTGCAAATTATGTGCATTTCTTCAACACCCAATATTAAGTAAACATTTAGAGGTGTTAACTGTACTGTACCACTCAGTACCTCATGAATATTTTAATCATTGAGTCACGAGTCATTCATCCTCTCAAGAAAAGCTACAGTAGAGAATTGTTAAGCTTCCCCAACATTTTCTGAGCATCTTATTACAGGTTTCTATTCTATTCTTAGGCTAAAATAAATGATCATTCTCAGGGCACACATGCAGTTTACAAGATAATAATGGCAGATTTACCATTGAAATTCACAGCCATTTCTGTAACAATGATTTCGGATAGAAGCAGACAACAGCAGGTTGTCCATTAATGGAAGGCGACGCTGAATTGACAACTCTGTTTGGCACTTCATAGTGTTTCCAGCTCACAGATTTCCAAATAGTAATCTTGTAAAGGGTTTTAGCTGTTGATGGCTAAGAACATTATATTGTTCAAATAGCGTGAGGCTAAAGCTACATTTCCCAGGCGAAAGGAAGCATCGTCACTAGTTAATGATCCATGTAGAAGACATGGAAATAAAGGAAATACATTGTTCTTGTGTAAACGTATCTAATAAAAAGCAGGACAGAGCTGCTAACATTAGCCTTAACTCTTATAGCATCCAGGGTGTGCTTCCACATAGTAGAGAAGCACTGCACTGTGTAGATGTGAATGTAGCATTTTGAACAGGTTAATGCAGGTAGGACATGCTAACGATTGTGGCTTATGCTAGGGCATAAAAACTCAGGTTAATCCAGTCCTTACATTTTTGTTCCAGTGTTTGGTTTAGGATATATAGATAAGTGGTTGTTTGCCGACTGATATTTTAGTTACTACCATCTCTGATCATCCTGCTACAGGGAATGAATTTATCACTTGACTGTTATTGTTTTATAGCTCATAACTGCTGTGAAATCGAAAATATCGATAAGTCAGATAGGATCACACGCCATCTCTCCACAGGTGGAACAGCTGCAAGCAGAACAAGCAGGCAGCTAACAACCGCGCGGCTACAAACAACCAGATGGTGACGCCGGAAGGAGAGAAGCTGCACAGCGACAGCGGCATCTCGGTGGACAGTCAGAGTCTGCAGGAGCAGCAGCAGCAGCAGCAGCAGCAGCAGCAGCAGCAGCAGCAGCAGCAGCAGCAGCAAGCCCATGCTGAAGTCCAGACTCAGCCCTCACACTCACACACACAGGAACAAATAGGTGAGCCTGAAACTCACTCCTTATTTTAACATTTTCACTTTGTCATTATGAATTACTGAATGAAGGTTGAAGGGGCAATTTTATCCATTTAAAATCAAATCTACAACACAAACTGTGCAAAAAGCGAATGGGTCTGAATACTTTCTGAAACCACTGTATATTTGTCACAGAAACTCTAACTTAACATAAGGCTTTCAGCCAAGACTGAACATATTCCCCTTTCACACCTTGGTATTGTTGCTGCCAAAGAAAGTCATTATCAATTACATCAAGATACTGCAGTGAGATTTGGAGAACCTGTGTAGTAGTTTTTCATCATTGTGCAAACATTTTCCTCAGAGCCAAGACACATTTCTGGGGATTGAGATCAAAAACAAATATATCACCTAGCAGCAGGACTAATACCTCGCTGCCAAGAGCGGATAGGTGAGGCCAAATCTTACATACATGCATGCATGATGTATTAGACTCCAGGAATGTGGAGATTCTGATTGTGAGGCACTACAGTAACATGAATATGAGGCCTGCACCGAACATTAGCTCATTATACCCTCAATATGAGGCTGAGAGATTCAGTGTTGACAGAAGTTTGACACAGTTTCAACCTCAGTCAGTACATATCAGAAGTGTAATGTATAAGGAGGGCAAGAAACTTTACATGTTTGATCTATATTTACCTTTACTAGCCTTACCACTCCTCTATTTCTATATTTGTCTACTGGGGCTCACAAAGTATTTTGGGTGTGGGTCTGTAGGACAGGTTTTACCACATAGTCTGGCAAGCCAGACAAAATCTAAAAGGTTTTGTAAGATGAACTCAGTATATCATGTCGGGCGTGGACGGATAAAACTAACATCATGCACGAGCAATCATAAATTATAATTTACAATGTGCCTAATTTACTTCATGCAGTGCAGTGCATTGAGCGAGATGAACACAGAGGGAGTGTTAAGTTATTTCTTTTCTACAGTTATCTTTAATTGCTACATGAACAGAAGAAAACAAACAAACAAAAAAATAGCCTAGTTTGTCTCTTGTAATTATTTATATGTTTTTATTTTAAGGATATGTTTGAATTTATTTTTATATTTCTTACACTACTTATTGTCAACAAATCCCATGAGAAGACCGAAATCAACGATGTGTTAATTAATCTCTCAACACTTTTCAGCTTCACTACCCTGCCTGTGGGCTCCAGCCCCAAACCCAATGCTTTCTAGTGAAGATGTAGATCTGTAAAAAGGGGTCACAAATTCACAAACATATAGTTTCATTTTTTTTAAATAGGCTCAGTAATTTCCTCAAACAGCTGGGCGGTGCAGTTTTCAGCAAACATTACTCAAAAAGGATTAAATTATGCATTTCTTGGGGACTACTTTCAAAAATTGCTGTAGATGTTTACTGTCTCTGAATATTTAAATCATCAATAAATGTGATGTAGGGAGTTCACTCGCTGACAGCTGGGTGCAGGTACATCAAATAAGGCTGGCTGCATGGTGGGGAAGCTGCACTGAGCGCCTGCAAAAAGAGGATAACCTTTAAACAGCCGACTGGAGAGTAAAGGCAAAAGCTGCAGGAGTGAGATGCGACCTCTGCACAACAAAGAGCAGTCTACCCTCCTTCAATACTCACTTACATTAAAGAGATGAAAGCAGCATTCTCACTCGATCTATCCGCATAAACCTGACAGGCTTTTTACCTGAAGAAGAAGTCTCAAGTTCAGTCATGATCTTGTTATCCATTCAACATTCTCTCCCTGGCTCCCTCTTTCTCAGGATTTCATTCTTTCCTTTCTAGGTTTTTTATGTAAAGCCTAAGAAATAGTTATACATGGATAATAATGTGCTAACAAGCCACACAGCTGACAAATCCTCCCTTGAACAATCCGTGGCACTGTGTCTTGTCTAGGATACCAATTACATTCTAATGAGGCTTGGGAACAGCTTATTTTGTTTTTTGTGTTTTGTTTGAGTCCCTCTTTCCATTCTTCCACTCCACAAATGCAAAGCCCACTGCATGTTGAAGAAAAGAAGGAATTTCTTTTGGGAGGAAGAGCCCGGGATTGGTTCATTGAGAGGATGACTGCCCCGTCAACCCTGCTGCCTCTTTAACTGATTGGCTCATTAGCAGGTGTTACGAGACAGGATCCAGGCCTGGTCTCGCTGCCTTTCAAAACCTGATCCGGCATCGGCGTTTAGCACGTGCTAATTGGCATTAACACTGTCTGCGGGTGCGGAAGCCATTAAAAAAAAAAAATGCAGCAAATGCTCTCATGCAGGGGGTTGTTGGTTCTTCCATGACCAACCGGGGTATGGTAAAATACGCAAGGGGCTGAGAATATGCACAATAAATCCATGATAATCGCAGAGGGGTTTCCTGTTTCCAACGAACCATATTTTACTGGCGGCTAAAATAATGGGAACACCTCCAGTCAAAACAAGTCAAATAAGCTTTTAAAACGAGAAACAGAGCAATGAAAATGTCCCGTGTTTTGAGTGACAACATTCAGAGAGGGTTTTCCCTGCGTGAGTCACCGTGGAGGGGTGAGAGCCTCCTACATGAGGGGCGCTCAGCCTCATTTCTGTCTGCTCATCTCCATTAAAAAGAGCCATCTATCTGTGCTGCACCCCTCCCTTCCCCCACAACCTCTTTTGCTGCCTGCTTCCCCTCCTCTGAGTTGTGCATATTGAATGTGTTTAAAATTTAAACAGGACTCTAACCCCTTCACTCACATCTCCTAACTGTGCATCCCTGCCCTGTGTTTGACCTCACAGTCTACACAAAATGGAGTCAACGCATCTGTCGGTCAAAAACCAGTCAAAGGAGGCTCGGGGGTTATTGCAAAAATCTAGATTTTCAGTTCAGAACACAAGTAATAAGATTGTTATTCATCAGAATAAAGAGTGAAACAGCAGTTTGTCTTTAGCTGAATGTCACAGGGAAATGCTTATTTAAAAAAAAAAAAAAAAGAAAGAAAAAAAAAAGAGGGTCTTTATTGCAGCACTGCAATCAAAAACAATCATCAGGGGGACGCAGCATAGTTTTACTAAACATTTGTGATTCTGGACAAAAGCCTGAAGGAGCTGCAGGAGCTCAGCAGTACGTTCCTCAGTGTGTAACATTATACTGCTGCGGGTTACAGTGATAATGAGCTGAGTCATGTAACGAATTACTAGCTAATCCAGTTTCAGTGATAGAGGAGGGATGCCTTGTGGCTGGTTGTCATCCTCCCACATTAGGAAGTTTTAATAAACTACTCAGAGTGGATGTATTCCCAGAACTGTTATGAGTTTATCAAGAAGGGCAACAACAACAACATCATACATATTCAGTGTTTGTTTCACTTGCTCATTTATCTTCATGCTAGCATCTATGGATTAATGAGCAGGTCTACAGTTTACAGCCCCATGGGCCCCCGAGGTGACTCAAGGGTCCAGAGTCTCTGCTTGAAGTGACTCTTATTAAACTGTAAAAGAGACATAACATTAGCCAGGCAGCTGGTACAATGGCTAGCTTGGTTAGCAGTCAACTGACAAAAAATGAACAAATCACAAATCAATAATCACAAAACAGTTGTAATGTTGCAACTAGGGCATTTGCAGAGCAGATAAAATATGTCAATATTTGCTTGATCTGTAGTGGTTGCTATAGCAACAGAAAGTTCAACTCCAACGTAGGCGCTAACAGGGGCTGTGTCCAGGGGCTCGCTGACTCATAATCCATCCATGGATTTTGGGGTTTCAATGGAAAAGTAATAAAATAAGCAGTGCAATGAGGCACTGCCCCCTGGGAGTGATCAAGTAGCAAAATGAAAAACAAGTAATACATTTTTTTAATTAGTAAAACAATCTCATTGTCTCTTTAACCTTTCCCTGGGAGTTCTTGTGATTACTATGAAGCCATCTCAATTCCAATCTCAATCAGCAAATTTCAAAGCTTTACCACGGCTTAGGGTCCAATCAGGGTTGCCCGCATGTGCTGATTAAAAAAGAAAGAAGAAGAAGAAAGAAGTTGGCAACAAAAGCTTTCGCTGCGATTGGAAGTTCACATTTCAGAGTAGACCTGACTGAACTGGTTCAGTGAAAGACAGCTTGTATTGATTCCTGGAATGAGGTTGGACTCTATAAAACATTGGACAGCCATGTGGCTATTATTATCACTGCTGGCTGCAAGATGAGGTGCAATGCTCGTTCAGAAACAGTTGCATTGAGGCAAAAGTACAGGTGCAAGCCACTGTGCATGTGCCTGGACTTGTGTGCGTTACAGATGGCTGTGCACTGGCCAGCGTCAGTGTGTCTCTGCTCTGTGTCATTGACGATGTCTCTAGAGTGCCTGTTTAAACAGGAAGGAAGAGACAGAGGAGTGCTATGAACTGTGGCTATGACTGGACAGAATCATTGTGGATAGATATGGTGAGCAGAGAGGCTGAGCATGGCTATCTCAGTGTATTTGAAATTAGTGAAATGTGAGGAGAAGGATGGGATTTTTGGGAAGGGAAAGGGAATGTAAACGGAGGGAGAGCCTGTGACATTCTACCAAAGAAAGCCCCTCTTCTGAGGCTTCAAAATAAACCCTCTTGGACTACACTTCCCTGGCACAAGGATGCATTGATGAAGACGTGAAAACACCCACCAGACTCGGGGGTCCTCTCAGAAATGCCTCTGCATTCCTGAGGCGTTTCCATGGCTTCCCTCAATTGACAACAGGTTAAGAAGTTTGTGGGAAAAGAGAGCATTTGTCTCCCATCCTCATCCAGCTAATGATTCCAGTTTAACAGGTTTGGATGGGTGAGTGACACCACAGGGCCCCCTGCAGGCAAAAGGGGCTAGAGTATATAAGCATTTTGATGGATAGGTTAAGTTGTAATCTTTGTAGGGAGGGAACTTGCTGAAAAACATTTCCCCATGAATCAGAAACTAATCAAGGTGCCCTTAATCAAAGGACTTCACACTTACTAAAGAGGAGCTGCTCAGTGGGAAACACAAGAGGTGTTGACACAAGTGTGAATATGCATAACTGTTTGAATAAGAAAAAAAGGTTCTTGTTCAAAAAAAAAAAAAAAAAAAGTACCACCACTGATTTAAATATCACAACAAATCACCTGTTTGTGTTTCTTTTTTACTCTCCCTGCAGTGGTGCGGGTGGATGGTGACCCCCAGTCTGACTCACCTCCCCCTGAAGTCTGAGGAAGAAAAGGAGGAAGAAGAGGAGGCGTCAGAGCTGAAGACAGGGAGAGGAGAGCAGGGGACCCGAACCGTGGACCAAAAAGAAAGCAGGGGGGGAGGGGGGCCGGGGCCACACAGAAAGTAAAAACTGACTCTGACTCATATCTGAAGTGGCCACAGAGCAAAGACTTGACTTGCATGGACCTCCCAGCACCTTTGGGCTACAGTCTGACTCTTCATCCCTGCATAGAGTCCAACTCTATCTATCAGCGTGCCTGGACACAACTTCTACGGCAATATCAGTCACTACCTGCAGATACATTATCGTAGATATGCCAGTGCATCTCCTATTAACTGAGTAGTCCAGTATCTAATGTTGACATATGACATCATTCTCACTAACTGCCAGCTTGTCCTTTGCCCCTTTCTAATCTTTCTATTTTCCCACTAATTCCCACACCCACTTGCCATGATACGTATGTGCCTAAAAGGTAAATAGGCAGGAAGGTTCTCCATTATCTCCTCTTTCTTTTCAGCCTTTTTTTCCTCTCACTTCTTCCTCAGTGGCATCCCACTCTCAGATAATCCGCTCTCCATAGGATTCACTCTATTAGACCCCCGCCATCATCTGCGATACAAAAAGCAGCGGGGGAGCTGTGAGTCACTCCCAACTTCTTCTGAAGTTTCTTGTTCTTTTCATCATTTAAAGACAGACGCGTTTCATGGCATGCTCTGTTGTAAAACGTTTGTGTCATTGTTTAAGATTGGCTGCACCGACTGATACAAGTGACTCATATTTGTGAAGAAAAGGTCAATTACTGTGTAGCCCACTTGGTAATGGACCATTTTTTTCCTGAGCGAGATGCTTCTTCCTGCATTCCGCAGTCTTCATCCTCCCTGTGACATAGACCTCGTCACGTTGCCTCCCCGGTTTGTATTTCAGTAATTTTGTGCTTATAATGTAACACACCCGAATGTTTGTCTCTGTTTGTAGAGCATTTACTTTCATTTTGTAGCTTGAGGTACATCGCTGATTCAGCAGGGTGCATCCACGGCCCTCTGTGGAGCCTGGATGTGCAACAACCTTTCTGGTCTGTGGGGCTCTGCTGACTCACTGCGAATGTATCCAAGGGGAAGCAACAAAAAAAAAAGAAAAAGAAAAAAAGAGGAGCTTTGACGTCACCAGTGACTCAGTGTACAGAGCTCATTAAACTGGCGCTTTAATGAATCTGGGACTGAAAAAATTTGCAAAAAGGGAATCCCATCCATCATAATTTAAGTTTAACTGAGTGGAAAATTGGGACACCCCTCAGAGGCTGACTCTCTTTTTACTATCCCCACCGCCTCCATCTCCACATTCTCACTCTTGCAATCTTGCGTGCTGCGTTACAGAGCCTGATAAACAGCGTTCTGAAGCGCTAATGCATCGTCATTGGCGCTCGTGTCAACACGGGGCCCTTTAGAGAGACTTCCTGACAGGCAGGTAGTAATTACCTCAGGGTTTCAGCTTCATTTAGCCTCTGCTCCACTCAGCTCAGCCACCTCTCATCTGGATTAATGCTGTGGACAAGGGAGGGGCAGCGCGGCCCCCTTTGAAGCCTCGACGTAACAGATCCCTTATCCAAGTCCGACACCATTGACATTTACTATATCGCCATGGTGATATAAAAGCACTTAGTCTAGGCTCACTTCTAAGGTTGGTTGGCACCTTTTATCACGCAGGACCACTTTTATGTTGCCCCCACCCGCTGCTTGCAGTGAAAGGCAGCCGGTGTAGGTACGTTGTAAAAGAAGTCTACTGTAGCTGATCTAGACTGCGTTTATTCCTGCAGAGGCACCTACCTTCTCAGGGTCCCTCTTATTGTGGTATGACTATGTCAAGTGATCCGTCGAGGAATTCTGTAAACAATCTGTAGATGATTGTGTAGATGTGTGATAGGATAGGTCGAGAGGTATTAAGCAGCTGTTAGGTTCACAAAAGGAGAGTGTAGAAAGATTCGGGTTTATATTGTTGATATGCCAACGTGACCAACATGAGACTGATGAATTTAAATGAAGAGTTTGATATTGGAAACTCGCTTATTTGCTCTATTGATGAGAGTCTCTAACTCTCTCTAAGGAAGGAAATAAGTCCACAAACAAATAGTGCGACGTGTTTTCCTCGCCAGCTTGTAGAGTTTAGTGAGCAATAGATAGATAAGAAATGTCAGAGTGGAGACAAAGGAAATCATTATATCCTGAGTGATGCGGCCCGGATCGGTCACATGGTCTCCAACACCTCGAGACGGTGAAACTTTCTCATCTCTTCACATGTGATTCAGTCTAACAAGTAAAACTCTGCTGTATTTTGCTCACATCTCATATGGGCATGTGGTGTGGACACGTGACCACACACACACACACAGACACACACACACTACAGTGGATGATTCACTCCCTCTCTATTGAGAGAGCCAGTATGATTCATCCTGATCCTGGCTGTGGCAGTGACATTAAAGCAGACTCTGCTACAGTATGAGTGACCAGAGTGTTGATTTAAAGATAAAAAAAGAAAGAAAAACCCAACATACTCCTCAACTCCTTTTGCCCCTGAGGCTCCATAAGCCCTCCAGCAGCACACTCATCTACCCTGAACCGACTTATTCTCTTTCTCTAGCAGCTTGTGAAGTGAGACACACAATGTAAAGAATGTACAACCTGAACATATGCAAGACACATTCAAGGATAAAGTTTAGGTTTGCCCTCGTTCTGTTGTTGTAAAATTGTTTTTTTCTTTACACTTTCCTGTTTGTTTGTATTATGAATAGTATTACACTTTTGGAATCAGTATTTTTTCTAACTGATATGTTATTTTGTAGCACTTATTAGATGTAATATGAATGCACTCAAAGAGTGTACCACAGTTCAAGTGCCTGTGTACAGTGTCGGGTCTTTAAGTTCAGAAGTTTGGCTATATTTTTGGCATTTTTCTTTCCTCCACATATTTTATGTTTTTATGTGCATTTCTTTGATATTTTGAGAGCTAATGAAGGTTTTTAGTAAACAGAAGTCAAAGCTTGGAGACGCAAACAAACTGTATAAACCTGGCACCGATATAGACAGGCTGACAGTACAAATAAGTTGCCAGTGAGCTCATACTGTATGTTAACATGCTATAAATGCTGGCAACTTAACAGGTCATGTAGCATTATGAAAACGTATACATGCCACCTTAGACTTCTACTCTAAAACTCACATATGCTATTAGTCAATGGAAATCAGCTCTACTGTGCAGATGTCTTGCATGTACAGTAAGTTTCATCATGTATCTCCATGTCAGAGGCACCAGGACGTGTAATTTGCAGTAACATGAAATTTATGGGGAGGTTCACTGTGATTCTCTGTGATATTATTACTACAAACTCGATCAGGACCTGATCCTGAAAAAGCTGAATGTCACCTGTACTGACCTACTAATGTAAAATGCATTGTGTAAATGTGAATTTCTTAGAGTTGATACAAGATACAGAAATACGCTATAAAATGTACAAAAACAAAAATGAGTGCAAATGATATGAACATCCATAATACAATAAACAGAGATGTCATTGCGTTACGTGTCCTCTTTGTCTGTGTAGCTGAACTGGCAGAGAGTGGTTATGTTTGCAAACACACAGTAATCTAATCTGATGTGAAATGCCTTAAAGGAATGGTTTGACATTTTGGGAAAATACGCCTCTTCGTCTGTGCAAGCAGGTTATTACGACATCACAGTTACGTTTTATAGTAATTATTACAGGAGCGAAGGAGCAAGTCAGGTGATGTAGTACAGACAACAAAGTTCACAGTAGGAGGAGGTTGGGTCAATAAAACACATGATTTTCACAAAGGTAACTGCTGTTTCTTTCCCACGGTAACGTTTGTTATTGTTACCATGATGACGAAGGTCCGGTATGCCTGTCGAGGGTAGGGACAAACAACCTACATGGCCATTTAAGTTGGAGGTCTTATTCACTTCCTGGCAGCACAGTGCTGGTGGTAGCTTCATATTTATAAGACAAACATCATGTAACTCTTGGCAAGAAAGGGAATAAGTCTAAATGTCAGCTATTCCTTCAATGCAATATTAGGTTTAGAATTGATCCATCTAGACATCACGAGACGGACAGAGAAACCTCACCGAGCTTCTACTCTGATAATAATAAAAAGAAACATTTCAAATTATTCCAAAAGCTGACTTTGCAGACCTCAAAATCTCTCCTCAGACCTGATGTTAGGCTTAAGAAATTCAGTTTTAGTATTTTTTTTTTCTCTCTTCACAAAAACACCCACAGGGATTTGTGAAAATGACCTCAAGCAAATGAAAATAAAATGCTGAAACCAGAAAGTATGGAGTGGCAGACCAGCAGCCAAACCACAGTCAAAAGCAGTACCATATGTGAAGGTCCATTGGACCCGCAGTGTGTTTCCCCGCAGTCTTATCACAACTTAAGCTTTCTGGGGTCCAGTGGGGGTTTCTCCCTGCTACGTGTCAGAGATGAATCCTCACTGATTTATCCTCCACAGACACAGACGTGACATCAGCAGACGACATGAGAGGAGGAAAGTCACCAAAGTATAAATGTCTTTAACAGCACAAAAGTCTAGTTGCTGCAGTTTCTTGTGAAAATATCACAGTTTTAACAAAATAAATTCAATTTTACTTGATTGATTTTGTGCAACTGGAAAAGCAAAACAAAACAATCACTGTGTGAAATGTTCATGTGCCGCTCTTCTCCGTCCTTGGCTGGTTTCTATATGAGCGCATGAATGCAGCAAACCAGCCTGAGATGGCGGTGACAGATAGACTGCAGAATTTTAATTTCATCAGCAGGGAGCACTTATATGGAGACACTAATCAAACTACATTTTCTCCCTCTGTCAAGATTAATCAAGACTGCAAGTCAGCTGAAATGACAGAAAAGTCTTAAATAGATAAAAGGAGACAGAGATGCTTAAGAAGCAAAGGACGTATTAAAATATGCTCAGGGCGATAAAACTCAAACACGACCACATCACTGACTCATAGAGAAACATCCAGTCACTTTCAGCTTGAAGGAGATCAACGTCTGTTTTGGTGCTCTTTTATTTA